TTTTTTTTTTTTTTTTTTTTTGTTTTGTTCTGTTTTCTGAAAGAACTACGAAGATTTTACCCAATAATGTGTTGATTTTTTTCAAATTTACTGTAATAACTGTCAGTTGTTCCGAAATCGCTTAAAATTGGCCATCATTAAACACGAGATGTTGTAGTTATAACATTATTTATTAAAACGGTATTTTGACTGATGCATTGATAATTTTTTTTTTTCAGTAATAATGCCCGTGAGTATCGAAACTATCAAGGAAGGTGACGGTACGTTGTTTATTGGTGTAAGATTGCGGAGCAGAGTATTTTTGAAATACTTGCAGATAGTTTCTTTTTTACTTAAAACGGCATGAATTTTCTTTGCAAGCATTTTTAAATTGTGCTTTTAATGACTACTTCTAGATTTTGAAGGCGAAGTTTGCAATTAGAAGATTTTTGGAATTAAGTAACTTGAGTATATCCAAGGCATTTGACAAGTAAAATTTATGAATCAACTTAGAAGCTGCTTCGTTCTTTAGTGCTTGTAACAGCTCTGCCGTTTTTGCAAGTTTTTGGTTGCGGTTGTTTTGAACTTTGTTCCTTCACTAGAAAAAAGTTCTGTGCTTTTAGGGGTAACCCATCCAAAATCTGGTCAGAAGGTTCAGTGTCATTATGTCCTTACTCTTGAGGATGGCAAGGAGGTATACATTTATCAATTCTATCATTCGCAAACATAATGTCTTAACAACAGATTGAATCTGATAAATTTTTCAGTCGCATAAGTAGCCTTTAATTACAGATCGATAGTTCTCGGTCTCGCGGGAAGCCTTTTGAATTCAAAATCGGAAAAGGAGAAGTCATTAAAGGATGGGATGAGGGAGTTGCCAGAGTATGGTTTTTAGTCGTTGGTCTTCTGACTTGTTTAGAAAGTTTTTGCTAGTAGAATTGAGTAAAGTTTTGCGACTTATAAGTTAGATATTGGTGAGCAATTGTTGGTATTAGGAAGGTTTTTCACCCGCCTCTTTTTATCTGAATTTTTTGAGGTCAATTTTTTCAGATGAGCGTTGGACAGCGAGCGAAGTTGACTATTACACCGGATCTTGGTTATGGAAGCCGTGGAGTACCTGGCGCTATACCGGCCAACGCCACTCTAATCTTTGATGTTGAACTCCTTGCTGTAAAATGATCTCATTTGAGCAATTCATTGTTTTCTGTCAACGCCTCTATAGTTTGTTACCTGAAAGCGTTATTTTTCCTAAAACTGTTGGCGTCTTATTTGTCTTCAAATTCATAAGCAAATGGGTCGAAAAAACCTTTGCTTTTTCATTATTGAACTTTGACATTGTTGAGAACTAAAGTTTTTGGTAAAGTTTTTGGGATGCTTTTGTTTTTTGTTCAAGAGCACTGCAAGTAAATTATGTTACTGTCTTGCTTGCATAAGACTAATAAACTGCATTAAAGTACAGCCGTTTACATTGAAAGTTTATTGCGTTTATCGTTTTTATATTGCAGTGGCAATAGTAGTTTCGATTAATTTTAGAGTTAAAACACTAATGAGTCAGGTTGTCATTACTGTTTTTGGCAACATGTTTGCATATTTGATTTTGGCTGAAGGAAGAAGGCTGTCTTTGTTTTTGTTTAGGTTTTAACTAGGTTTTGGTGTGATTGGCGTAGCGCGGTTGTGAGTCTTCACGTATCAAGGTGGCTGCTATTACCTACTATCCATTTCAGTTTACCAGTAAATTTTTCCGCTGAACAGGTGCTTTGGGAGAATTACGTGTTTTTTTGACATAGGTGTTCATTCTACTAGCGTATCTTGGCGAACGTTGTATGTTTATGAGCTTCCATTCTCAATTGTAATTCCTCTTCGGTGTTGCTTGAGTCTTCAGGTTTCGATTTGGAGTTGTCATCTATTGCAATTGATTTTCAGAAATATGCATATATTCACTCGAAGTAAGTTTTGCCAACTTCGTCGACTGCTGCAGTTTTCACCAGCTTTTACCAGAATTTATGGTACTGTTTTGCTCATTGTTATTGCGATTGCAGGACTTCTTTAGCTTTTGGGAAAGCTGGAAACATTGATTTACGCATTTTTTTTTTTATTATTTTCCTTTTCCTCTTCTTTATTATTGCTTTTCTTTGTGCGACTTTTACGGTTATTATTTCTCTCTTGATATTATTTACCACTTTTTGCAGCCCGGAACATGTTCATCCAAGTGCAGGAAACTCCTAATCCTTTGACACTAAAATTTTTGCCTGGGCAACCAGTAATGGGTGAAGGAAGAGGAACAGTAGAATTCAAATCTGTTTCAGAGGCTCGACAAAGTCCCTTAGCTCTGTATGTTTCTAAGCTATCAATTTTAAATGGTTTTGAAATTTTTAAATGTTTTTAAGGGATCTTTTTCGCATTAACGGTGTGAAAAGCGTGTTTTTTGGTAAAGATTTTATTACACTCACGAAAGCTGACGAAGAATCTGACTGGTCGCTTCTTAAGCCTGAAATTTTTGCTACGATAATGGATTTTTTGCAATCCGGCAGGGCGGTTTTAAGTAAAGATAATGTTCAAGAGGGTCCGGAGGACACCAGTAAGTATGGAACGCTTTGTTCTGAATTTGCATTATTTCTTTTTTTACAAATATATTTGTAGTAAAGTTATATATTCTGATGATAAAAAGATCCTGTTTAGGTGTGTTACCAGAAGATGACGATACTGTTGCAATGATAAAAGAGCTTATTGAATTTCGTATCAAACCAATGGTGCAGGAAGATGGAGGGGACGTTCTTTACAAGGGTTTTCATGACGGCATTGTTTATCTGAAACTACAGGTATTTTTCATCCTGATAGGAAGGAAGTTCTTCGTTTTCTGGAATTTATCTTTTTTCTTCCAAATTTTTGCTACTGCGTAATTTTTGACTTTCTGTTAACATTCATTTGTTTGTTGTTATTCCCCTGTTGTTTCTAGGGTTTATTTCTTAGTGCAGAAGTTATGTTATGGAATGGTTCCTCTTCCCAGTTATTTAATCAACTAAAAGGATAAATAAAGAAATCTGCTCAAAGACTGATTTTTAAATAGTGAAGTAGAAATAATTCTTTATATCTAATATCTGTTTTTCTATTTGTTTGTTAAGGGGTCTTGTACGGGTTGTCCTAGCTCTTCCGTGACGTTGCATTCTGGAATAAAAAATATGCTGCAGTTCTACATTCCTGAAGTAAAAGATGTAGTTGAGAAAAAGGATGAGGAAGATGAGTTCGCCGATAGCGCATTTGACGAATTTGAAAAGACGAAGAGAGAGAAGGAGAAGAAGGAGACAACGTAATTAAGTATGACGGTTTACGCTTATTTTCTGTACTATTTTCAGATTTTTAACTGTAGCCATCAGAGCGACTGCAGCCAATTTTGTTTCGTTAAGTATTTGGTCGGTCACCGTTTAGTTACTTTTGGGTAGGATCAAGACAAAGTTTTGCAGCCAACCTTCAAAATTTCTGCTAGTCATTTTTAAAATTGGCAGTAAGGTTATTTTCAAGTTGTAGTAAGACAGTCAAAGATGATTTAATGTTCTGTCATTGTGTCTTATTTCAGTAACATTAGCAGTTCATTTTTCATTTTGACAATTTCAGTTTATTGGACAGGTTTGAGTTGAGCAGTTTTTTTTTTATTTTTAAGGGAAATATATGAGGTTTTGAATAATAATTTCTTATTCTCTCAAAGATTTTTTTGGGGCAGATGTAGTGATAAAAAAGGTTTAGAGGTTGTACGTCGACATACTTTTTCTACTTTTTCCTTGAGAATTGGGGAAAATAATTTATTTTTTTTAAGCTGCATTAATTAACTGAAGTAGGAAGTGAAAGATTATATTTTGTTAAGATTTTCAGGCTTTAAGCCGTTGCAGCTATGTTTTTTGTTAAACTATGATTTGTAGAAATTATTTTTTCAGACACTGTCAAATATCGAATACTCTTTTAGTGTAAAGGACGATATAACTGAAGTTGCGTTTATCTGTAATGCTTACTTCTTAAATGGCGGTCAGTTGAAGCAAATATGCATTAGTTTTACTTTTAGCGTAACTGTCAACCCATTCATTCTGTCTTTCAGGGGTTTTTTCAGTTAGCCGTCCATTTCCTTTTGATATCTCAGCCATTGTTGTGTGACTAGAAGCATAAAAAGTGCTTTAGACGTGTAAATGTGAAATATTGAAAAAAATTTTTAATCAGAATTGATTACGGATTTATTTGTAGTAATGTGTGTCTGATTTGTGGTGCCTTCTTTGGGAAGCAACTTTATTTTTTTGTTTCTTTTTGTTATGCCACTAGTTAGAAAGTTTTAGTTGCAAGTAATGTGATGTAAGAATGTCGGCTCTGTATTTGTTCATTTGGATGAAGTAGTGAATAGTTGTGCGTTTTTTCAGTTTTTAGGTTTGCTTTCTGTGAACTTGAAGAAGCTTTTGGTGCATTCTTTGGAAGTGTTTTACTACTTTGTTTTTTACCTATTGAGTATGGGACGTTTTTTCAGTCTCATCCACTTTGAACTGTTGAAATCTCAACGTTCAAACTAGTAAATTGTAGAATTTGACAGGAAGTTTTTTCCCTATTGTGGGTTAGTGTTATTAGAGTATTTTCTTGAGTTCATCACTTTTTGCTGATTTGTTCTGATATTTTGGTTGATATGGCGAAAACAGGTGAGATTACCTGAAATTTGTGGAAAAAACTGAATGAGATGTGGCTGAAGTCCCTGTTAGTTCCTTCATCATTTAATTTGGCTGTATTTTAAAGTGACTGAGCAGTTGGTAAGCTATTTTTGGCCAGAATGGTGGAGTGAGCTGAATTCCGGGTAGATAAAAGACCTTTCTGAAAATTAGAACGCAATTCTTACTGCAGGTGACTTTTACACTTTATGGCAGAAAGCGGGGTAAAGAATGCATCCTGTGTTTTTCTGTGTCTAAGTATAGATTGTTTTATTTTTTGATTAAATCAGGCGGTGCTTCTTGTTTTTAAGATTTTGGGCGGTGTCCGGAGATATGCGTAACTGTTTGAAAGGTATTATGCAAAATGACAGTTAGGAAATATAGAAAAAGTGCCAATATGCTGAATTTAATTTAGGCCTTTAATATGAATCTTTCTTCGTGTGCACTGGAATTTGCTCTTTTTGTGCGTAGTAGTTTATTTTGATTGTTTTACCATTAGATATGGCTTTTTGACAATGAAAAAGAATGGCGGAAAAAGCTGTTTTTGTAAGTTGCTGGTGTTTTTCTCATAAACGCGTAGATCTATAGTTGAAGATGGTCTGTTCGTGATTTTGGTTGGCTTTCTTTGTGCTTTTTTTGGCAGATAATTTGTTTCTAAGATTGAGTAACTCGGTAAAAGAGCCATAAGTTATTGTAAATAATTTGGTTCATTGGTTTCGAAATCAGTTAAAGTAGTACTGTCAGTTAAAAGTTAACATTTGTTCCTTTCGAAGGTACTAATTTTATGGTGAGGATTTCTCAAAGGATGACCTTTACAAAGTTTTCACATCTATTATTCCAAAAAAGAAAATGACTTTTGAAGATTTTATCATATGTTGGCCTTGCCAAATTTCAAACCAATGAACTGATGGAGTCAAGAAATGATCTCGTTTTTGCAATCCGTTTGCAGTGGTCCGAACTCAAATAACTGATGTTGAAAAATATCATTTTGGGTCCAAATCAATAGTAATAGCTGCTGAGGCTAGCAGCCAGAGTACGGTATAAAAGCATTATTACTTGTTTGTAGTAATATTGAGATTATTCGTTGTAAATTGCTTATGAAACATGCAGGTTTTTGCTCCGTTTAATAAACAGGTATAGTGCAGGATAGTGCTTTTGAATTGTAGCACTGTATCATTCACATGACTTCGTGGCAAAGTATCCAAATATGTTCGCTTTTTGCTGTTACTGCTGTAGTTTTTGAATTCGAAAAAAACAACGGGGTTGTGTTCGTGTTCATTGGACTGTTGGTGTATTACATCTTCTGGAATTCAGTTTGGCTGTTCTGCAATTAGTAACTATGGCAGTTTCATAAAAGAGTTTCATAGAACCGTTTCATGAAAG